CAAATAGATAAGAGAAACAAATTAAACGGTTATTCTTGTCTCAAACAAACAGTTATCAAAAATACAGATTTTACAAGAACATATTATACAACATAATCCAAATTAATAAAAACTTACAAGTTCCTTGTTTACATAAAAGATTGCTACAAAAATTTTAAATGGTTTCTAGGTTATATGTAGCCAATTTAGATTATCAAAATTTTATGGATAGGTATCCTTTTTATGAAAATATTATTGAATTTAACCTCTACGACAAAAATAATATAAAACTTTAATTATTACAAATTCTTTTATTTTAATAAAAGCAATTATTAAAAATGTCTTTATAACTTGGAAAAAAATTATTACATTAAAAGTTACCTCATTTCTCACATGTTTCACTTAACTTTGAAAAAGAAAAACTTGCTACATCTCTGTGAAGCTACTTGGACAGATTCTCAAAGTGGAAAACAGGAAACCATTTCCGTACTCAGGCAGGAACGATTTAAACAGGAACTTAGTGGAGGAATCAAGCTGACTACGGGGACATTCTATACCATACTTTTCAAAAATTGCCAGTTTCCATTCAAATCTAATGACTACTCTGCCGAAACTGCTTATGCAAAGCAAAGAGTATAATCATTTTAACTGGTCTTAAGACATTACTAAAAAATTGAATCGACTCTTCGATTCACAATTGCCCCAGCAATATATATCCGCAGAAGCGTCTACGACCGTTTCAAATCTGTTCTTCCACTTACATTGTAACACGTCTGCCGCATTTGAAATATATTTGTCCACTCTTGATCTGCGTTAAATTTACCAATTCGACGCCAAATAAAATTTCCCCTTTGCGTCTACAAAGCATAAACAAACAAATATCCCCTTGTTATTCATTCCTAACGATGAAAGACAAATAAAACCTCTTTTTTATATCGATACATTTTTGGCAAAGTAACGTAAGTCACCAAACACGATTTGTAGAAAAAACAATTTTGTAATTCAACCTGGTTAAAATTATTTAAATTATGACTGAAAAAACTTGTCATACTTGTTCTAAAAAAGATTTAAAATAATTCTACGCTTACTACACTTTGGCAGTACCTTTTTAACAATAACAGTATTAGTTTATTGAAAAACATGATTTTCGCCAAAAATGTCACTTACGTTACTTTGCCAAAAATGTATCGATATTAGGGGGCATCATGAAATATAATCCCTTCATGCGACAAAAAACTTGTCGAAATAGATATAACATATTACAAATTAACAAAATAGCACGTAGTTTTTTAAACCGGAGTTCTACCTGACTTTGTAACAGAGATAAAAAAAATATTTCCAGCGTTATTACGCATTTAAAAATCTCGTCAAAAAAACTTGAAATATTTACAACATACATTTAACTTCGTCGGAATATTTAAAAAAAAATTTCCTATATTAACGATCGTTTTCTTGGTAAAAACAACCAGGGGTGTATTACAAAAATCTAAAATATAAAACGCTACAAATTATAAGGGAATAATGGGAATAATACCAGCTGAGTTGTAAGATCGAATGATAAAAGAAAGAGTAGAATCAGAATGCTAAGACATAAAAGAACAAAATAAATTTCGTGCAGGAAGATCATGCACTGATGGTATATTTGTTCTGCAGCAGGTAATCGAAAAACAGAAGGCAAATAATCTATCTACCCACCTATTGTTTGTAGATTTAGAGAAGGCATACGATACGGTATCTTTGAAAAAATTGTTTCAAACATTGACAAAAGTAGATCTCAGTAGAGAGTATGTGGATGCTATCGCAAATATATACAAAAATGCAAGTGTCGTTAAAGAAGAAAACTTTTTATCTGAATCATTTCCAATAATAAAAAGGCTTAAACAAGGATGTTGTCTATAAAAAACTTATACAGAAGTAAAACACTTCACATTTGTATTTAGGTATAAAACATCTAATTAAAACGTTTTTTAAAAACTGTTGTCAAAATTTATACAGGAGCATAACGTGACGTTTTCGATCTAGTTCAGATTTACCTCAGTGCCTTTTTTTGTACTTGAAGCTAACACTAAAATAGTAGCGGTGACATCAATATATGGTTTTACATGTTTCAAAATTTAAATTCTAATGTGACCCTAGGTCGATGACATGGGATAAAGACTTTAATACTTAAAGAACAACATGTCTCTTTGCTCAACTTGAACAAGTGGTTCTTGTCAGTTAAAACGACACAGACTAACAAAGACAATCTACTGAAACAGTAACAATCTACTGAAAGCCTACAGTGATTTGGGCTGCAACATATCTCTTAAAATCCATTGCCTTAATTCCCAGTTGAACTTTTTACCACAAAATCTTGGAGATGTTAGTAATTAACATGGAGAATGATTTCATCAAGATATTTGTGTATGCAAAAACGATATCAAGGAATATAGAGTCAAAAATGTCAACTGACTACTCTCTCTCTCTCTCTCTCTCTCTCTCTCTCTCTCTTGTCGTTTCCCCATTACTGCGCAAATCGTGCTTTCTTCCAATATTCCTAACAAATTTGCTCCATTGATTTCTATCTCCAGCTGCTCTGGGAGCTTCGCAGAATAAGTTTCCAGTTAAATTCTTAATTTGGTTGTACTATCTAGTTGGTGATCGCCATCTTTATCTTGTCCCCGAAACGTTTCCAAAAACAATTAGCTTCTCCAATCTATCGTTACCTCTGTGAACCATATGACCGTAAACGGTTGTTTTATGAGCTGGCCAAGGTATGCGCAGTATTCTTTTTCCAGCATCGCATCTCAAAAGCATCAATTTTTGGACGCTTGCGTAAAAAGTTCAAGTCTCTGCTCCATATAGAAATATTGAGAATACAAGGGCATTCACCAGTTTTATCTTGATATTTTGAGAGAGAGATTTGTCTTTGTCACAACACGCATCCTTGTCTAACACCTCTCGCGGTCTTGAATTGGTTTGAGAACTTTTGATCTAGTCGTATTGTTGCTATATTAAACTGGTATAGATTTTTAATAAGTTTCACCAGGTGCATTGGTGTGCCCATTTCTATTAAAATGGACCACAAATTCATCCATCTTACACAATCAAATGCCTTTTGGTAGTCAACGAAGCATAAAATCATAGGTACTTGAAATTCTCGAAACTCTTTAATAAGTTATCTCAGGTTCAGGATTTGATTCCGAGTACCCTTAACCTTAACAAACCCTCGTGTTTCTGAGGTATTTGGTAATGTAGAGAGGTTTTTAATCTGTTTCTGATGATATGCAACAATATTTATTTTACTAGCATATGTTGCTATTAACAGGGAGCGGTAGTTTTCACATCTGGTAGTGTGTAGCAGGATATATATTGAGATACACCGCGACACAGATAGAATTGATGATATAAAATCATTTGTTACCTAGTAATTGTAGTATTTCACCTGGTATTTAATCAATGCCTGCTAATTTATTTCTCTTTAGCGATTGCATCTTTGACTTCAGCGAGTAAGACAGTAGGTTGTCTAGGGTAGTCAAAGAGCCACTGATGTTCTGCTACTACTTCGTTATTTTTGTATAGCTCGTTACATTGGTTTCGCCATATTTCCAGTATTTCATCAGTATCGGTCTTTAGATTACCTTCCTTATCTATTACAGACCACATTTGAGATTTAAGTTTTCTGGTAAGGAGTTTCAGAGTTCTCCAATTTCAGATATCTCGGTAGTTGGAAAACTGAAGATCTAGATCCAGACATAGAGATACGTAGCAGGATTGAGCAAGCCAGAACAGCATTAACTAATATGAGAACCTTGCTAAGCAACAGCAGCCTCAACTTTTCGATATCGCTCTGTAAAATGTTACATTTACTCTATACTGCTATATGGTGTAGAAACCTGGACCATAAAGGCCAATGTGATGAACCGATTAAAGGCTTTTGAAATGTGGGTATTTAGAAGACTACTTACAATTCCCTGGACAGATCACACAACAAATGTCGAAGTATTAAATAGATTGGGCAGAGAACGAGAACTGCTGCCAATAATAAAAAGAAGAAAAACTGCTGATCTGGGTCATATATTTCGAAATTCCAAGTCCCAGTTTTTAAAGCTTAATATGAAAGGAAAGACAGAAGAAAAACGAGACATCGGAAGAAAGAAATACTCATGGCTTAAAAACATAAGGGATTGGACAAACCTCGATACCCATGCACTTTTTAGAGCCACGCAAGATCGAGAGGAGTATTCCAGAATTGTCTCCAACATCTACTAATTGGATAGGACACCAAAAGAAGAAGGTAAGGAGTTTGATCTTCTGAAATAAATCCCTCGGTTTATTTTAACATCCATGTTCCTCTATCTTTCTGCATATTTGAAAGATGTAATCAGCTTTGTCCTTTGCGGTACTGTTTTCTGATTTCTTTCGATAACGCTAAACTTGATCTAAAGAAATAGCTTCTTCTAGGTTTTGTTATAAGTCATTGATTTTTAGTGGATTTAGAAATATGACTGTTTTTAGGAGTCTTCTTTTGGGGACTTTTAAACGATTTCCGAACGTTCAATACCAGAAGTTGATGAGCGCTTCCACAGTCTGCCCCAGGATATGTTTTACAGTTAATGCCAGACGACTTCCATCTTGATATTATAAGAATTTAGTCTATTTGACTTCTTGTTCGTCTATTTGGGCTGGGCCGTGTGTAAAATCTAGTAAGCTTTGTATTGATATGTATTAATATATTTGTTATGATACTAAAAAGAGATTAACCATAAGCAAAATACTCAAGAAAATCTCACAACAACCTTTTAATGTCATAATCCTATATCTATTTAGCTGTATATAAGTAAAAAATGTGTTATTTATATTTGATTGTCACAAAAAAAGCCATACGTGATAGACAAAACTATTATCATTTTTTGATTCGGTGAAAAAATATTAGGAAAATCAAATAATAAAACTTTTGCAGAAAATCTATTACATTTTTTGTTGCCCAGTGTATTTACTATATTAAAAGCTCATGATCAAAATAAAAAACTCTTACTTACCGTAGATTTATCTCTTATCAAGGCATCTCTTGAAATCTCGCAAGCGTTAATTTCTGTGTCGGCCTTCTGCAGTTGTGCATCCATATGAGTTTTTTCATCTTCCAGCGATCTAATCTTCACGGTAGCCTGGTCGTAGAGGGACACATATCGAGCTAGCTGTTGACTCTCTGCCGTTAGTTTTTCCCGCAGCCTCTCCACTTGCTGAAAATTATTTTAAATTAAAAATGAGTCTCAGAGAGCTGAGGGTTAGGTTGAGTTTAAGTGGTAAATGTTTGAGTATTTAAATAAAGTAGCGTTACTTTTAGAAATAACTATAACAGTTTAAATGCCATTTTCTTTAATGTTAGTTACTACAACCATATTATATACATTAAATATATATTATAATAATTTGCAAATTCAGAGTTTAATTGATTTAACATGCCTTAGGCTTAATTTTATATATTAACCTTTTCCATTTCCCGCAATAGAATACCTTGGTATCGTAGATAAAGCATAAATAGGTTCAAATATTAAATTTATATGGTTTTTCTCTGGTTAATTTTTCAAGCATAAATCCTGTTGTCCTACCCTCACCTACAGTCTGTAGGTGAGTCCTTCTTGTGCAAATATATGTGTTAGACTCACACCATTTCTTTGTCCACTGTTTTGCCAAATCATGTCACAAAGCTTATTGATTGTGTCGACATATATTTTATCTACTACTTAAATCTCGGCCCCTTATGTCGTCTTTGCCGGGTGACTTATTATTTTTTGGCGACCGTAGAACCCTCCCCACTTCCTTTCTTAGAATTAAAAACTCCATTTCTATCTGACTAGAGTTTGGATTATAATTCACGATTACACTAATATCTTGTAATTTTTTCGCAGTACTGTCTCCACACTTTAGCAATCTTGTTAGCATCTGTGATAGTTTCTCTTTCATTCAGAATAATTTGTGTTTGTGGCTTAAATTTACTGGTCAGATGCTTAAATTTGTTATAAACCTATCATGGTTAATATGGTAATAATGATATATTATTTGCATTCTCTTTAATTTCTTCGCATATTCGTCTAATAAGCCTATTCTTGTCTCCTTTACAAGCGTTTTTTATTTCATTCTCTAGGATTTTTTTATTTTCTGGAGTTAAGAGCCTTTGAAGTCTCGAGAACCTATTAGGTCAATTGTTCTCTCTGTTATCCAGAATTGTGTTGCTTTTTTTATTGGTTTTGTAGTTTCACTTACACCAGATACAATCCAGATTTTAATCACTTCTCAGGTAACATTTGAATCATTTTTTATTGGTGGTGGACCAGTGGCATGTAGTTTTTGTTAAAAAAAGGTATCATCGGGTGTAGGAAGTCTTTGACTCCCAGACCTGTTTGTATGTCTCCTACCACATTTGTATGAAAAAACTTATTTTTAAGCTAACAACTTGCGTACCTTTTAAACACTAGATTTAGCTGCAATGCTTAAGCATCGAACATTAACCACTATTACACAGAATTTAAACTTTAATTTGTTAAAGGTTTTATGTCCTTACAACTGATTTGTCGTTATTGTCGTTCATAAGTTCAAGTATCCGATCCTTAATGGAAGTTTCCGATGAATCGACAAATCTGGCAGGTGTGCTGAGAAGAATTGCTACAGAATCTAGAATATGTTTGTGGTCGGTTGACAGTCTTTGGATTTTTTCTTCTTTAAGTGCTAAATCATCTGAAAAAGAAAATATTTTACATAATTTAGTTTACTGGAAATAGTTTAAGAGGATGAGAATATGTTTAAACAACTATAATAATAGTAGACATAATAATAATTGCAAATGAACCATATTTTTAAACAAGAAAAATGCACCGTTGTACTAGAATGGGTACAACTCTGCGTAAGTGACATCTTAATAAAGCTTATCCAGCTTTATTAAGATAAAGATATTCGTTAATATTCATAGCTACTAGCTAAGATTATGTTGAAAATACAGCGTCGAACTATTGGTTGACATCAGAAAATATGTTTCCGAAAACTAAGAATTTCCTACCCGCTATTCATAATTAGGTAATTTCACCAAAACCTACCTAAAATCAACCATACAACATCTTACTGTGTGATGTCAGACATTCCAGTAGGAAAGATTCTTTGTAAGTAATAAACTGGGACTTTTTTAAATTAACTATGTCTCCTATTATCAATATATCCCTGCCAGAATGCTTGAAAACAACAGATATAAGCTATACTGTGACCGGACTGTGCTCACAGATTAACCAGTGGTACACAGTAGATCAAATTTCACATTAGTTAATAAACTAACTAGACAAACAACACTAATTGATATGGCGACTTGTAACAACAATAATATGCGTGGAAAATACAAAGCGGGGATCGAAAAGTACAGGTATCTTGGAATGTATATGTATAAGGAGAAAATGAAAAATGAAAACTATAAAAACGATACCAATCATTGTTTATACTACTGTAGTCTTCTAATACTGTGGATAAGACATGTCGCGTAGAGATTATAATTATAGTTTTAGTTTTACAAAATATAAAATTTAGCCTATTACCTCTCATTTGACAAATCATAGTTTCATGTTGCCCTATCGTTCCAGTAGCCTTATCAAGACTTCTGTTGGATGCCGCCAACTCATTCTTGACATCTACAAACTCCCGCTCTAGTACTCGATGTTGCATCTCTACGGTCTGCTTCTCCTGTTTCAGTCTATCTATTTCCATGACTTGAGCTGTGCATTGACGATGGAGGCTTTCTTTTTCGAGCAAAGAACGCTCCAAATTTTCTCTACAGTTCTTAAGGTCCAGTTCTACTGAGCCTAAAGTATCTTGAATGGAACATATTTTGTTGCGCAGTCTTGCGGTTTCCTGAAAAACAAAAAGTAAATTAATTGATGTGATCAAAATGTCGTGAGCTGTCATTTAAAAATGACATCATACAAAATTACAATTTACTTTCTATTAAAAACTACCAAAAGGTAATAATTATTACTTAAATGGGAATAAGCCACAATAATTAAAGGTTAAAGTTTATTGACATTTAAATTTCGATCTGAAATCGTTTTCAAAAAATAGAAAACAGCTTCAGAACAATATTAATAATTATAATGATATAGCAAAGCAAATCTACAAATATATAAAATGAACAACAAAAAATAATGTTAAAAGATATATGTAGATTCGAGTGCTAATATTGTCATACGTTTGTGCAGGCATATACTCCACAATCACAACTATAGAAAATATTTTGACAACTTTTATAGGTTCTTTATTTCCACTTATTTTCACTTAGCCAACTGTGACATGCTTTTTCTAGTAACAGTATGGATATCAAGAATTTCTAATTGTAAACTGGAAAATATTGTAAAAAAATTGTACAAGACTGTGGAAAAAGAAGAACGTAACAAAAAGATAATTGTTTCAAACCTAACCTAACATTTTTTACATCTTGAAGGAGCAGAAGGAAAATCTGCATACAGATGCCTGTGACTCAAACAGATAGTGGTAAGTTCCTAATACCCTAACGAAGCTGTGTCAGGACAAGATGCCCAAGGGAGTTACATCTTTGACACCTCGTCCCGTCACCACTCCGAGATGACCAGCGTCCAACTAAAAACATCTCCTCTGTCACACCAGACATCAGGATGGAAGGGCTGGTTAAGATAAAACATCTCTCCTGATGCCCTGCTATCACCCGATACCCTATTCTTCCTCCCACACATTCATTGGGGAAAACCTAACTAACCTAACCTAACCTAACCTAACCTAACCAAAGCTGTTTTATATAATTACATGGTGAAAATCAGTATATGTGTTTTTTTTCTTTATATCTAATAGAATAAGTTATACTGACCTGGATTAATTCAGCTGCTTTATGGAACAGTGATTCTGAGTTAATATACGCGAAATCTAACAAATCAGCTCCCAAAGCTACCGATAATCTTCTAACAAAATCTTGGATTTGTAATTTCAAACTTTCCTTTTTCTGTTCTTCGGCATTTAGATCAAATTCCAGCTTTCTAATTTTCGTTTCAAGCTCTTTAATTTTTTCTTCGCTATATCTAAAAGTAGTTAAATCGAGTTAAGAATAATTATTGTCGTTCTGAAGTTGTTATAACTTTAAAAAAGAAACTTCTATAAACATGATTAAGAGTAGTTTGTTTTTAGTATTATCCATATACGCCTTAGTGTCATATGAAGGTATAACACCATTCAACATTTAATCTGTTACCACCGTACTAACATACAAAAAAGAACAATCAGTCATACTAAGTTTCTTACAATCATTTTTGCATGCATGTATCTAAGGGTTAGATAAATCCATCCAATCCAACCAAAAAAAAAAAATTTATCCTCCAACAAGATAATTATTGTCCTGTTCACACTGCAAATATAATGAAACAATGGCTCCAGAATAACAACATCGAAACCTTACCATGGCCCAGCTATAGTCCAGATTTAAACCCAATCGAGAATATGTGGGGGGTTATTATAGAACGGTTGTCTCTGCGTAATTTTATACCTCAAAATGCTAAAGAGTTGTGGCACGGTATACAACTGATTTGGAAAGAGCTCTCTGAAGAAGATAATTTCATAGTTCCTTTCACGAAGATGGACCGAAGACTACAATTTGGTATCAATGCTGATGTACCTACATATTACAAAATATTAATTTTAATTTTACATTCCTAAATTTAGTAAGATATACATCCTAATACAAAGAATATCAATGGTAGGAAAAGAGAAAAGTGCCAAACAAAGAAAATGGAACACATATATGTTTAAAAATCCTAAAAAGAAAAATGAGTACCAGCGGAAAATAAAAGTAATATTAAATGAAAGAGGAGAACAAAACAACATTGAAGAAGAATGGAATGTCATCCAAACGACAATTACAAATATAGCAAAGGAGACATTAGGTGAAACCTCAAGCAAAAGAAATGAGGACTGGTTTGACCAAGATTGCCAACAAGTAATAATAGCAAAAATATAGCCGCAGAAATGTCTACAAAGGGATTCGTGATTGAATAGAAGGGCATATGAAAAACTCAGGAAAGATGCAAAGAAAATATGTAGAAGGAAAAAGAGAGAAATGTTGAATAGAAAAATACAACAAATTACATATTCTAATACCAGAAGAGAGACTAGAAAATTTTACAAGAAAACCAAGCAGTACGCCCAAAGATACATGACAAAATCAACAGTTTGCAAGGATAAAAATGGGGCAATTATAAGCGAGAGAGAGAAAATAATGAAAAGGTGGAAGGAGCATTTTCAAGAGCTGTTAAACCCAGAAAAAGAACAAAACGAAGATGAAGAAATAATTCACCACACAGTAGAACAACTAATTGAGCAACTAACATTGGAAGAAACGATAAATGTCATGGAACATCTAAAAAATAACAAAACATCTGGCACAGATGGAATAACTACAGAACTGATAAAGAATGGTGGACATGCGCTATGAAGGCGTATCCATAAACTAATCGTCCGCATATGGACACTAGAAGTCATCCCAGAAGATTGGAAAGTAGAAATCATACTTCCTATGTACAAAGGGGGAGACAAACGATTCTGCGAAAATTATAGGGGCATAACAGTTTTAAATGTCGTCTACAAGATATTATCAGGAATTATATACAGCCACCTGGAATCGTTTTCGGAGAAGGTGGTTGGTGAATACCAATGTGGCTTCAGACCAAAGAGGTCAACTATAGACCAAATACATATGTTAAGAGGTATACATGAAAAATGTGTTGAATATGACATTCCTATTTACAACGTGTATATCGATTTCAAACAGGCTTTTGATGGAGTAGATCGACAAAAGATGTTAAAGCAACTATCTATGTTCGGGATACCTAATAAGTTGGTTCAACTTATACGAATGACTCTGGAGGGTTCCAAAGCTATGGTGAGAATAGATGGAGATATGACGCAGGCCTTTGATATTGAAAATGGAGTTAGACAAGATGATACCTTATCAACAACACTTTTTCATCTAACTTTAGAAGCTGTTGTTAGAAAACTGGATAGAAACGGCTGTATTAATACAAGATCAATGCAAATATGCGCATATGCTGATTATGTTCCCATAATAAGAAGCAACAAACGGGTATTAAGCGAAAAAGATATAGAACTGAAACGAGAAGCTGCTACGTTCGGTCTACATATAAATGAAAGCAAAACAAAATATATGGAGTACACAATAACAAATCAACATGAGAATCTGAAAGTAGACAACCATACCTACAAATATTCCTCCACTTTTTCCTACCCAGGCTCAATAATAAATGACAACAACATCAGTCAAGAAATACAAACACGGATTCTTAGCGGTAATAAGTGCTTTTATGCATACAAAGACTTAATGAAAAGTAAGTTACTGAATTCTGAGTCTAAGCTTAGAATTTACAAAACAGTAATTAGACCAGTGGTTACATATGGATGTGAAACGTGAACCCTCTTAACCACTGATGAAAATCAACTGAGAATATATGAGCGCAAAATATTAAGGAAAATATTTGGACCAACCCAATGCAGCGATGGGCCGTGGAGAATTAAAATGAAGCACGAGCTGGATGAACTAATGCAGAGCGCAGATATTGTTAGATTTGTAAAGTCACAAAGACTAAACTGGCTTGGTCACCTAGGAAGAATGCCAGATAATCGAGCTGTAAAAGTAGTCCAGAGATGGAAGCCCCAAGGACACAGAACAAGAGGAAAGCCCCGTAAAAGATGGATAGACGACGTAGAGAGGGATCTTAAAACCATGAATATTAGGCAGTGGCGAAGGAAATTATCCGACAGGGCAGAATGGAAGAACATTGTTAAGCAGGCCAAGACTTTTAAAGGGTTGTAGCGCCATTAGAAGAAGAAGACCTAAATTTAGTATAGTTTGATCTTTTAGACTCTCGCTTTCTTTCAAGAGTATCCTGTTCCCTCCATTTTTATTAGGTTAAATTTTTATTCTGTGGTAACAAACTGTGGTTCTGCTTATGTTAAAATGTTTTGCTGCCTCTGATAGTACCCAGTTATCTTTTAATTTGGTTAAAATTCTTGCTTTAGTATATTTTTAAGTCTTGTTTGTTTTATTTCTTAATAATAATAAAATAATAACAACAACCCTATTTTATGTTTAAACTAATCATTTCATACTATGTACCTACAATAATAATTATTAAAAAATAGTTGTATCCTTACCTAAGATCTTTATGGGCACTCTGAATGGTATGCTCTTGCCTGGCTTGCACAGCCAATAAATTCCTTTCCCTTTCCTCCATATCCTGAGTGTGTTTCTTCAGAGAAGCAATTGCAGCATTCTGCCTCGCTGCGTGTTCTCGAAGCTGGTCGGTCTCGATTTTTAGATCGAGACATCTTTGGTCTCGAGAAGTCAGTTGTGATCTCATTTCGTCCATGTCCGACTGAAGCTGGTCTCGCTTGTATTGTAGGGCAGCTATTTCACTACGAAGCGATGTTACTATGTCGATATCTACGTCATCCATCTGAAAAGTAATTAAAGCAGATAGGGATAAGACAAATAATATGAACCTGTTTGCATAGTTGCCAAAAACGAAATAAAATAAATAAAATAAATAAAATAAATAAAATAAATAAAATAAATAAAATAAATAAAATAAATAAAATAAATAAAATAAATAAAATAAATAAAATAAATAAAATAAATAAAATAAATAAAATAAATAAAATAAATAAAATAAATAAAATAAATAAAATAAATAAAATAAATAAAATAAATAAAATAAATAAAATAAATAAAATAAATACAATAATAAATATGGGAAAATAATTATTTTAAACTAGATATAAAAAGTTTTTTTTTCTTCAGGATTTGAATTATTATTATAATTATTATTATATTATACTTAATTATAATTATTAATATTGACCATAATTACTATTATTTTAATCTTAATATTATTTATAATGTCACCCAAATATTGAAAATATTTATATTTAATCCTTAAAAGGAGACTATAAAAAGTAAATCGCTACTTTGCCAAAATTTTCGTTTTTCTTTTATGGGCTAACTACTTATAACAGTTCCCGAAAGCGCGCTTAGGCGCATTCGGGAACTGTTTACAAGGGACTGTTTCAGGTTCTCTGCTAGACAGTCTACAGCTCAAGTCTCCAATAAATAGTTCTATTGTATGCAGGTGTGCCTTAACTGGTACATGTCCAGTAAGAAAGCTTGATATCGTTCGTTCGTTATCTTCTTGTAAAGATGTTTACTGTCTTTTTGTAAGATTTATTCTATTATTTGTATTTCTTTGAGAGTTAACTTTTCTCTCCAATTGTTTTTTTGATATTCTTTGCCCATAGAAGTTAATAAGTTCGAAATTTGTTAAGACTCTTAAGCTCAGCCGGTTATAAGTCCTTCTAAATCGGATAAAAAACTGGGGTAATTGGCAATAGATACATTATCTCCGTCTTTTTCTAAAAGTTTCCTTATTTCTTCCATGTTATCATCTATACTATTTAATGCTTTTTTGTGGAGTTTGACACGGGATAAAACACCTATATTAGTGTTAGATTTGTTTCTTATATATAAAATAGTCAAATTCTTCCAACTTTTAAGCTTAGAGTTTGGATCTTTGAGTGGAAATAGCCATTGTAGTAGTCGATAGTCGAATAAAAATTTAAATTTTAATTCAAAAACACTTTGATTAAAGTATTTAGTAGCCCAAACAATTGCTAAAACATTTCTTTTTTAATAGTAAAATATTAATTATTAAATATTAAATATTAATTTGGTTTCATTTAGAGCTCTGGATGAATAAGCGATGGATTCATTGTTTTGGACCCTTTTTATTAATTAATTTGAAATTGACTAAAAAACAGTAATTAACAATATTTAGATAAAATTAATCGATGACGACTTGTCTGCGAAACTATTGATCGCTGGGTTATTAGACTCCAATACAGCTGATCTTTTTCTTCTTCCTCTTTATAAGCAATTCTGCTCGTTCATTGTCGTCTGATACTGCTTCTGCCGATTGGTGACATATCTCTTGCTAAATACAGCTGATGTAACGTTCC